CGTGTCGTGACGTGTTGACGCAGTGTCTATTAGCGACCCCACCACTGTGTCGTGACGTGTTGCTGCAGTGTCTATTAGCGACCCCACCACTGTGTCGTGACGTGTTGACGCGAGTGTCTATTAGCGACCCCACCCACTGTGTCGTGACGTGCTGTCATGAGTGTCTGCTTATAATTAGGAATGTTATACAAATGGTCAATATCGTTAGTGAGTTTAACCGCAGAATCCAAGTACATCAAATTTGTGGGCAATAGAAGATAAACCACTGATCTAAAAAGGTATCTAGATGAAGGGAATACCGCTGATGTTATGGCTAATCAAAGAGAAGGAATGGCGTAGTAGGAGACTAGAACTAAACTCGGAGTCGACACCATGGGGTAAAATGGGGTGTAACACATAATGATCTAGCACATTGGATGAAGCTGTGGAGTTTGTCGACTGTGACGTCACCCCAGCATTCTTTTGTATGACTCATTCATTGGTCAAGGTCGAGGTGTGTGTTGACTGTGACATCATTTCAAGAATGTCACTAGTTTTATTGGACAAGTTTGACGGTGTGTGTAGACCGTGACGTCATAACTTTTGGCGGGAACATCTGTGTTTTGTGTTTACTTTCTCCCAGCCTGTGTTAATTAATCGGTACAGAATGTTTATCGGTACAGAAAGTTTAATATAATCGATGTAGAATGTTTATCGGCACATAATTTATATTAGTTGGTACAGAAAGTTTATTAATCGGTACAGAATGTTGATGAATCGGCACAGAATGTTTATTAATCGGTACAGAATGTTGATGAATCGGTACAGAATGTTGATGAATCGGTACAGAATGTTGATGAATCGGTACAGAATGTTGATGAATCGGCACAGAATGTTTATCGGTACAGTTTTAAGTTATAGAGTTTCTTCTTAATTGACGACAATATTCTGTACATTAAGATTGACCAGTAAAGTGATGTAGCAGAGAATAAGGAAGAAGATTAAATAACAAGGAAGAGGAGGATGAAGTGTAGAGGATATGGAAGAAGAATAAGAAAAGAAAGAAGAAAAATAAGAAGAAAAAGGAAGAGGAAATAAGAAAAAATGGAAAAAAAAGAAGTGGTAGCGAATGAAGAAATGGAACAAGAAGTTGAGGAGAAGTTTTAGCAGAGGAGGAGGTGAGGGGAGAAAAGTAAAGAGGAGGAGGAGAGAAAGGAAACGCAACATAGGATACACTAAAATATTGAACTTTTAGAGGAAAGAGAGAGGCTCTGTGAACACTTAACCAATCACCAGGCTCTGTGAATACTTAACCAATCACCAGGCTCTGTGAATGCTTAACCAATCATCAGGCTCTGTGAATGTTCAACCAATCATCAGGCTCTGTGAATACTTAACCAATCATCAGGCTCTGTGAATGCTTAACCAATCATCAGGCTCTGTGAATACTTAACCAATCACCAGGCTCTGTGAATGCTTAACCAATCACCAGGCTCTGTGAATGCTTAACCAATCATCAGGCTCTGTGAATGCTTAACCAGTCACCAGGCTCTGTGAATACTTAACCAATCACCAGGCTCTGTGAATACTTAACCAATCACCAGGCTCTGTGAATGTTCAACCAATCATCAAGCTCTGTGAATGTTCAACCAATCATCAAGCTCTGTGAATACTTAACCAATCATCAGGCTCTGTGAATGCTTAACCAATCATCAGGCTCTGTGAATACTTAACCAATCACCAGGCTCTGTGAATGCTTAACCAATCACCAGGCTCTGTGAATGCTTAACCAATCATCAGGCTCTGTGAATGCTTAACCAGTCACCAGGCTCTGTGAATACTTAACCAATCACCAGGCTCTGTGAATACTTAACCAATCACCAGGCTCTGTGAATGTTCAACCAATCATCAAGCTCTGTGAATGTTCAACCAATCATCAAGCTCCTCTGAGTCTGAGGGACCAAAGATTTAGTTTCCAAAACACACTTTGTACAGAGGTTGGCATGAGTCTGGCGGGAAGCAGTGACAAATGAGTTGCCATTATCTTAACTACTGACCTTGTTCCAGGAGCTCACACGTGCCTCTGTCATCCTGGCACTGGAGGCTGAAGGTGCCGGAGTCTCACTCAAGGATTCTGGGACTATAGGAGGATGACTCACTCAATGTAAAAAATATCCTTCGCAACGGTGGCGACACGAAGCGGCCAGAGACAGAACATAAGCCCATTGCACCTTACATGATATTGTGCTATAACACCAGATTATTCAACAAAAACAATTTATATATAGTCAGTAGGTTAATGATGTCCAACTTTTGATATCAAGGCATAACTCATCAAAGCAACACACTGATTGTTTTGCAGTAAAATATAATAATTTAATGGAATATACTTCCTTCTGGTCTTCAGTAAGATGGTAACTACAGTTTTACACCATTTAATATGAACATAATATCACAGACAGTTAACCAATGGTTTTATTATAGTTTTTTAACAGGCGACTGTTGTAGTAGTGATATAAAGAACACCACAGTATGTACAGTTGGCAGTGACTCCACTTTCTCACATCTTTTATTGTGTTCACTACTTTATTGATGACCAACGTTAAAGTGAACTACTGTACAGAACCACATAACTACCAAGGTATTATTTAAGGTTAGAACACTACGTTCCTACAGTGGAAAGATCAGGCTACATTATTCCGCGTTGGAATAATAGTAATAATATTCAGTAACATTGTTATATATAATATAAACTGTAGGTACTGTATACAGGAGCACAGTTCAGCGTGACTATGGGGTCATTTGTTTAGGCTACACAATTTCCAGTGGTTGTACTTAAACAATTCTTAACCGTTTGGTTTCTTCATGAAACTACACAAAATTACCAAGTTAGGTTAGGTACACTATAGATACATAGGTTAGGTTAAGAAGGTAAAGATACATTAGATATAAGTAGGATAGTTTGGTAAGGTTCTTGTGAATTTGCCCAAGTAATGAATATGAAGTCCAGTCGAAACGAATAATGACCCAAAACTTCAAAGTTCCATCCTTTTATTTTCGACATTACAATAATATCCTGCTCATTTTATATATCCTGGTGATACTCTGACGTTAACTATAAATTCTGAAGAGTGGAACATTAGCAGTATTAAAGGCAAGAAAGAGCTCATCAAAACTAACGGACAGTTAACACTGACAGTAGGAGGTGTACGACTCACGTCTCTATATCTTCCGGAAATCATAAGAAAGTGAAGTTTCTGTTCCGTACAGAGTTGGTGGAGCACTTAATAGCTACACAGTACCGGGGCTCCATTGCAGCTGCTATAAAAAATGAACAAAATAGAAAAACGGATTTTGCCAAATTCTTCGTATTCCTCCCTTTATTCCTTGCCTGGTAATTATTTTGTTTATTTCCGGCTGCTTGGTAGCAGCACATTGGGGGATGAACCAGAGCCATAGATTGAGGTGAACCAGTGAACTCTGGGGTGAACCAGTGAACTCTGGGGTGAACCAGTGAACTCTGGGGTGAACCAGTGAACTCTGGGGTGAACCAGTGAACTCTGGGGTGAACCAGTGAACTCTGGGGTGAACGTGTTCGCCCATTGGAGGATTGACCTATCCTCCTCTAGTCTCAGAATCCTTGTCTCAACCAGGGATGCTCAGATGGTCACTTCATGTAGAGGTTCATTATTGGCTAACTCTGTTGGGCACATTTTAGTCACCTGTCTGGAGGACAGAAGGCGAGCTACAGGTGTCCTAATGGTGTTGCTGTTGTCATTGTTGGCTCAAACTATTATTGGTTTAATGCAGATATTAATGTTTTAGGACTTACTTAAATTTTGGCTCTCAACAAACATTAGAAAATTCTCGTGGGTTTATACCAAAACATTTGTCTTTGGTAGGGAATTATCTATTTTCTAGCTTGGAAAATACCAAACATTGGAAGATTGAGCAGAGTCCAACAGGTAGGTTAGGTGAGGTAACTACGTGGCTGGCTGGCTGCTGTAGAACATAACTTAAAGATGATGGAGGAGGTAATGTTAATACAGTAGTGCTGTATTACCTGTGAACTAGAATGGTTCAAGGACAAAATTATAATCAAAGAGAGATGAATGGCCTGATAAGTCATAAGTTTAAGTGAAAGGGTGTACCACTGTACCAACTTTTGGTACCTGCATGAGTCACGACGGCACCCCAGTTACCTAGAGAGACTTGATCACCTTCAGTTACTTAGCTTATACTATAGGTGGGTAAGGGGTGACTTGATAGGGGTCTATAAAGACCTCAGAGCTGGCGGACGCTCGCCCCACAAAGGTTCACAGCTCAAGGTTAAAGAAGCCGCAAGTCTGGATAACTGTGAGGGGTAACTTTTTCGGAGTGAGAGTTGTGAACTCTTGGAACAATCTGCCAGTGTTGTGACGGCACCGAGTGTGAGCTCTTTCAAGACCAGACTTGACCAACACTGATGCAGGTACAGATACATTCAGGAGTCAGTACATACCAACAGTGCATAACAGAGACGTGGCCGAGCGCAGGTGTAGGTTGCAGTTAGCCTAGCCAATTTATACAGAAATCAAGGTAAATTTTTCCTTTGGGCCTATAATCGCTTTGGGTACTCAAACTATGTTTTTCTGATAGTTTAGACAACTTTTCTTCAATGACGTTTCCCTCGCAAATGACCTAATAATTACCTAACCTAAACTCCTAACTGGGGGTCTGTCCCATGGACCCCCTGGCATATATACCTGTACTGTAAATCATTTGTGAGGGAAACGTCAGAGAAGAAAGCTGTCTTAGAATTGTCTAAGCTATCGGAAAACATATTTATAATTACCAAAGCGATTATGAACCGTAAGGAAAATAATACCAGAATCAACACCAACTGTAGTTCAGTACAATATTTGGCTGGATTTTTAAACTAATGTCCTGTATCTGGTGCACCCCAAGTCTCCTTCCTACCATTCTATCCTTACCCAACACTAGACAGTTCTTCATGCCACTGTTATTCTCTTTGTTTCCAGATACATGAAAGGTAACTGGAGCAGCTGTAGTGTAACGTGTGGTGAGGGAGTGAGGACCCGTAGTGTCTCATGCATGATCTTCCTGGAGTTTTCCCGTACTGTGGCTGAACTGCCAGATGACCAGTGCCCTGGCCTCAAGCCTCCACACACCCAGCGCTGTGTCCTCCCTCCCTGCTCACATGCCATGACCAGGTGAGTTCTTCAAGTCCCTATAATGTATGGATATTCTCAAAACTAAGTGATATGTTAAACCTCTCATTATTCTAGGACAACCTCATTTGTTTCCACGAACAGTAAGTCCACGATATTCTCTTGGATAGAACAGTCCCTCCCCTCTATGCTAATGGCTAGGACAATTCTTCACTATTCTCATGGACAACACAGTCTCCCACATTATTTCAGGACTATATTTCCTACCTATTCCTGTCTCTGCAAGGATAACATTTATCCGATGAATAGGGAATTCTCTCCTACCCATTTTCCATTGATTGAGTCTCCCTCAACACTTGAGCATCAGTCAACTGGACAGTACAGTAGTTCACTAGCTGTAGTTTGTTCCAAGACTACTGTGTTGTTAAGGTTTCTTATTTAGGTTATTAGGTACAGCTTAGCCAGTCTTTCAGATTTTATTCGAAGGTACAATGTTATGTTTATCAAATCACAAAATCCATTTAGATTTATTATATGACAAAATTTCAGACATGAGTATCCTGTGGGTGAAGTGAGTGATGCAGCTCAGGAACCTCCTATTGTCAGTCTAGAAGATGCTCACGAAGATGATTCACTTGGTGACCGCAAAATCCATGAGACACCCTTTTTACCCAGGCTGGTGGATGAAGATGCATCCTCAGGAAGAAGCAACAGTTTAGGGCATGATTTAGACTTGCCAGTACCAAAAGCTGAGGCCTACAATGAACCTCGTCCAAGTCTCCATTCATTTGAGACTCCTGGAGTTCTTCGACCTGCCAGTGACCCTTTGCTTCTGTACGCCAGTGAGGTTGATACCCACAACCAGTATGACTCCTTTGAAATGACCCGCGTCAAGCCTAATCTAGAATCTGAACACTCAGAAATGAACTCAATAGAAATCGACTTGGGTGGAGGTGATGGTGAATATCCTGGGTCTTATCGGATTGACGAGGAGTCCAACAGTGCCCACATCTATCAATGGACTACGTTAGGCTTTGGTCCATGCAGTGCTTCTTGTCTTGGTAAAAATCTAGACTTTAAGGAAACATAAGTTTTAAAGACTTTCATTTCCTGTAAGAAAATCCTTTACCACTTTATCTCATAAGAATTTAAACAAATTTCTAAATATGAATATTAGTGCAATGAATACAGATTTTTTTTAAATTTACTGTGTATTTGACTGCAACACTGAGTCATATTTTTTGAGGAGATGCAGTACTAACATTCATTAAAACCCAACAACATGTCATGTGAAACCTACTGTCAGTAATTGTACAATATCTAATACCTTCTTTAACTAAACAACCTGGTTCCTACCATAGACTGACAGGTATTCACTTTTAATAGGTGGCGTGCAGGAGTCTATGGTGAAGTGTATCAGAGCTTTAGATGAGAAGATTGTGACACCACAGTTGTGTAGCACACTTATGAGGCCGGACATCATCACTCGGACCTGCAATGATCAGCCCTGTCCCCCACGCTGGAATATTTCAGAGTTTGGAGATTGCAGTAAGCCGTGTGGTGGAGGAATTCAGGTAATGGTTGCTTCTAGACGAAACAGTCTGCAGACATCTTTTATCAGTGTATTAATGGGGTACAACATTGTTGCTCTTTAACTCAGCTTGTGGACAGGTTCATTATCCCTCTCATCATACCGTACAGCATGGTTGAAGGAAATGGTAAACAGCAAAAAAGAATATTAACTTTTAGTGGTTTCTACCGTATTATTAACACTAACAAAATGGCCAAGTTTAAGAACAGTACAGTACAGTAAAGTGTTAGTGTTATATTATAACAGCAAAATTTACGAGACAGCAAGTATATTGCTAATAAAAACAATAAACTGCCATGCTATACTGTATACAACTGTTGGCTACTTTACCAGGTGACCTGGCTCAATAGCCACTTCCTATTATTATTATTATTATTATTATTATTATTATTATTATTATTATTATTATTATTTTCATTCGGTAAGTAATTAATGAGGATGATAATATGAGTATTACTGTCACTGTACAGACACGTGAGGTGAAGTGTATCCATGAGGTGACTCGAGGAGGGACCAACACTGTAGAGGTGCCTGATATTCTCTGTCCACAGCCACCACATCGCACACAGCAGCACTGTAACTTCAAAGATTGTCCACCTGAATGGGTTACAAGCCGCTGGTCAAAGGTGAGACTGCTTCTACTGTGTTTTCTTCACTGTGCTAACAAAACAGTTTAATTCTCTTTGTAATATCATCTTCTGTTTCATTTAGTGAAGGAGAATGAGAATCTCTCTTAAATTTTGGCTGTTAAGCATCTCCATTGTACCAGTTGTCAGGTATAATACTGTACAGTATATTAATAGCTGCTGTATGAAACAATTGGTAGGAGTTTCCTGAAGAAGTTAAAGAGAAGATCACCACTTTATTATTTCTTGATGGAACACTACCTGGTGTGTTTGGTTCATTGTTTATGATGCAAGTCTGGTGAGGGAGAAAGGAAAACAAAAATGAGTGTGTACTTACGAACATAACATAAGAGGTGCCCATATAACATCATAATCTTTGTAATAAACCTCCCTTGTGCAGTATTTCAGAGCTTAACCGTGATTGATAGAAGACCACAATCCAACCAAATGGAATTTAACCAATTAAATACAGTATATTAGTCATGGAGATATTGACTTTTCTCACTTAACAGATTTTGCTCTTGAAGTTCTAGACCTGATGTGGTTGTTGAGGTCTTTGGTCATTAGGAGTTGTTCAGAAGCATAGGTTACAGGTACCTGAAAGTCGTTGAGTATTGACTACAGTTACACAAAATATACTGTTCATGAAGACTCAGATGCACTTGTAAACTGTTGTGAACTTGGTATATCTGGAAGCCCCCCCCCCCACCCCCCAACACTAATAATAATAAAAAATAATAAAAAGAATAAAATAAATGAAATAAAATAAATAAAAAATATAAATAAAAAAGGCACATTACTAAAAAAAAATAATTAAAACAGATCACCAATGAATGAGTATAAAATCAATTGTTGATTAATTTTGTTTTGTTAGATTGGTCTCATTCAGATATGATACAAATTGAAAACCTTATTTGGGTACAACAATTGTCACATATAATTTGTCAAACACTCATGTAATTAACAACTGTTTTAACAATTATTAGAACTATAATAATAAGTTGAAGATGAAAATAAGTAATTGGCTGCACCAGTACTTAATTAAAGAACACCCATGACAAGTACAAAGTTGAAGGTACAATGTATTCAGATAAGACTTGAGTGAGAGTGTGAAGAGTAAAATAACCCTGAGGTCCTGTATTTACAAAAAACATAGACTTGTTTTCAAGAGCTGTACACATCATTCAAATAGGATTTGTTTTGTGAAGAGCATCTTGTTGCTTCTCTAATAAACATACTACTAATGACCTATAAATCTATTTATTGACCTGATGCATCAATGTCAGGAGAGTTAACCTTTCCACTGTCATCCTGCTTCTCAGGTGGCTCTTAATGTGTCTTAGTCCAGAGAAAGAGCATGCAGGCTCAGAGGAACCTACTGGAGACACACAGTAGCTCACACAGGTTGGGAAGTAAATCTTAATCACAATGTTTGAGACATTCATTGAGATTCCCTGTGCTGTAACTCATTTAAAACACAGGGAGGGAGGTGAGGGCAGGTCATTTATCTAAAACAAAAACTTTACACCAAAAGTGTCAAGGTTAGCATTTGTTATACATATATATATATATATATATATATATATATATATATATATATATATATATATATATATATATATATATATATATATATATATATATATATATATACTGTATATATAGTTTGTTTATTTTATGAATATGTTTTTAGTGTTCAGCTCCTTGTGGTGGTGGAGAGAAGAGACGTGAGGTGAGGTGCCAACAGACTATGGCACAAGGGCAGGCCGAAGCAAGACCTGATCGTAAGTGCCCACACCATCAGCCACGTTCTGTGAGGAAGTGCAACCGCAGGACGTGTCCTGAAGAGGGAGAAGACCCCAAAAATTCAGTAATCAAGTCACAGGTGCACCAGAATTATGTTCAGAGCAAATATATGAAGAGGCTGACACTTAAGGTGAGAAAGTTAATGACAGGAGAAGAAATATACCTATATTGTCTGTGTCAAACATAGGGTAACATTCCTCAAACAAAAGACCCAGTCCAGACTTGACTAGACTCGGTGTAATGCAAGTTCCTATTTCTTGTTGGTACAGGTTGGTGGGAAGGCCACAGTGTTCCGAGGGGTAAAAGTGAAGGTGAAGTGTCCCGTACGACGTTTTGACCGAGCTAGAATTACTTGGTGGTATGAGGGTCAGCAGGTGGGAAGTAGAGGCCCCGTCAGAACCACCAGCAGAGGTGTTCTCAAGATCAAGGAAGTACAATATCCTCATGCAGGAGTCTATATATGTAAAGGTAAGTGGGTGTAAATTTTATCAACCCATGCAGATAATTTTTCCAAAGTTATGTGTCTTCAATGCTATCTCATTCTTAAGGTTTATTTTCTTAGGTGTTTAAAGTCTAAATTGTAGATACAAAGGCATGCTATATATTATTATTCCTGTGACATAAAATCTAAGGAGGAATTCTTTGCTTGAACCCTCCCCCCCTCTCCCCCATTAGGGATTTAAAGGTGAAATCTGGCTCACTTCCTTATACAAATCGTTTAATTTTTTTTTTGAAAGAATGGAGAATTATATACCTGGGGTATGGCTCATCTAATTTACCCTGCTGTAAATTGCTACTTAACAGTTGGGGATGTGAAGGCTGTCAAGTTCAGTGCTGGCCACACTACCTCATTGTGTACTGTATCCACTTCACACTGCCCTAATTTACCCCAGGCTATTGCAGATTGGTGTTATTATTCGCACCACCAGTGAGCTCATTACAGTGAGTTCTGCTATAACGCGTGTTTTGACAACGCGATTTATGAATAGAGGAACGATATTTGTATAACGCGAACGCTTGTTTGCTGTAATGCGATTTTTGCTTACTATTTCTCCAATTTTGTGGTATTAACTGTGAATATGGTAAAGAAGAATATCTCCAAGAAGCGTTCTGGTGATCGCATTCCCAGTGATGATCGTAAAAGAAAGGCTTTAACCCTTGAAGAGAAGCTCGATGTTATCTTCCTCAACATCACCCTTCTCCCCCATCAAGTTATATTCATATTTTTTCAAGGTAAAGTGTTACATTTACTGTATGATTTCATTATTAGATATGAATGTTACATTTATTTAGACTGTGCTATCCTTTGTGTTAGGCTAACTACTAAATTTTTTCCGTTTTCGAGTAGTAATCTGCACCTAACCCTATTTTCTCCATAAGCCCTGTTATTTCTATTATGCGAATTTCTATAACACGATGTTTTACAAGAACACAACTATCGCGTTATAGCAGAACTGACTGTACTTTTTTTTCTTACTAGTGATGGCTGTTGGATAGCATTGTCTTGATAACTAAAAATAATTTATTCGGTGACTTACAGGAAAGCATAATGTTAAGTGTTTATTAAGGATGCTGATGCTGGGTTGTGTAAAATGACCTGTTGGATGTCTTGAGGCAGTGGAGTGAAAGGGAACCAACACTACAGAGTGAAGTAGGAGTCTGTGTTGCTCTTGAGTCTGGGCAGTGTGAACCATAGTGGACAACAGTGTGGAGGATAAAAGACAAAATAATCCATATAATTAGTGAGGTACAGTAATGCAGTGTAATCAGAGGTGCTAATTGGACCTCGTCTCTGGTACAGTAGAACGGGACTTTTCTGGTTTTTGAACTGTATGTGCAAGTTTAACTTTAATGTTTCAGATAAATATTCTGTTGTCCACGTGGTCTCAGTTGTCTAATTTCAACACCAAGATAAGATATAGGAACCATCTGTCCCTGACCTTATAACACACACACACACACACACACACACACACACACACACACACACACACACACACTACAATACTCAACACACTTGTAAATAACAATCATTAGACACTGGTAAGTGGCAGATCAATATAGTCGGGGATGTCTCAGTATAGATTCTTGACAAAGTTTTAAAGACACGATCCCAAAGTTGTATTCTCTTGTAATTGATTAATTGGTGTTTCCTTCAAGGTAAGTCGTAAGAGCATATATTTTAGTGTTTTATCATTAATCTCTGTATATAAAACAAGTATCAAATATGCACAAGTCCATAAACCTTATGTACTCAACACATATAAGTTTTCTCTCTCTTTTGTGTGTGACAAAGGTCTACGAAATTCAGAAAATTTGCAAATAATGCCACCTCACCACACCAATTGGTCAAAACCTGGATGTGTTACAGTACTTACTCTATACAATATTGGTGCGCTTTGTGAAAATGGTAAGTTTAGCCTTGTAATTTAGTCCTTATCCAGTAAACCTTTATATCGGTGTCCCATGGAAGCCTCTCTGAGCCATTTGGTAGATCACATACTGTTGTAGCCCCCAACCTTCCCAGTGTTAAAGAAAGTCTCTTCTCTTGGCATGTATATTAAGTGATTTTTATATCAAATATTATTGTACAGTATTGGAAAACCCAGACCTGACAACCAAACTAGGAACGTGAGTCATTTTGTACGTGTTACCGTAGTAGATCAAGAGTGGATACAATAATTCAGTAAACTCTCTTAAAATCATTACCATGTGAACGGTATCCTTTGTTGCCTTGTGTTTACATGTTTTGATCAACCAAAGTGTTAGCCACTGTCTGCTGTGTGATTGTGTGTCTTAATGAGAATTTATGTTGTAAATGATTACTCAAGGTATATATACAGTATAAAACATATAGGTACTGTACCAGATTTGTATACATACATGCAAATGGTAAACATTTTTAATGTGGGTATTTTCTGTTTCTGTGACCGTTCACTCACGTGTATGGCTTAGATTGTCACCATAAACTAAAAGTTCTGTCCTGTAAATTAATTTTATTGTTATAGTGTCAGTTTGTGTATGTCCGGCCATACATCTTCAAGATACAGTATACTGTAGACCAGTCTTTAGTGTCCCTCAGCTGTGACCTGTGGAAAGTGATTAGAGGTTTAACTGTCATAGACTCTCTTGGATGTTGTCTTTGTCATGTAACAAGTAACTGTGACAAAACATGATTCTGTGTATACAGTGCAGTATATGTGTGTGTGTCATTTACTGTAATTTTTTTTTTTATGTTTTAATTATAAATTTACCCACTTAATGCTTGAACTGTGTCTTCCTGATGGGTGACGGAGAAGCCAAAGAGAACAAGTTGTAATAAAAAATCTGTTGATATGTTGGGGCCAAAATCAATATCACAATACATTTTACAACAAAACATAACTAGCACAAAAGAGAAGAAGAATCACATACTTGCTATTTGTCCAGTTTTATTCAAGTATACTGTATTGTGCCTTTTCTCTGTTGGCAAGAAGTTGATCCTTCCTTCATTTATTATCATTTAGGATTAAACTGATTCGCTTTGGTCACCCGAGGGGTCAAATGTTCTCTCTGTTGTTGACAATTCTTTTACTGCAACATTGGTATTCATAGTAACCCTTTTGACCACCTATCTTAGTGGATGATTATTGCCACCCATTATTGAATTGACTGACTCACTGCCACCCACTGATAGATGGACTGACTTATTGCCACCCACTGATAGATGGCCTGACTCACTGCCACCCACTGATAGATGGACTGACTCACTGCCACCCACTGATAGATGGACTGACTCACTGATAGACGGACTGACTCACTGCCACCCACTAACTGACTCACCCTCTCGATCCCTGCCTTGGTAGTCAACGGATAATTTCACTCTATCCCACCTTTATCAGTTTTCTTAATTATTTTCTTATCTGTCATCTTCTCATGCTTTCTCTTTGGGTTGGTCACTTTGTGTCCTTTCTTATAACTTTCTATGGATAACTTTCTCCTTTATTAATAATTTTTAACTTTACAGATAACCTTATGCTTTACTGATGACTTTCCACCTTACTTCCAACTTTGAACTTTTCTGATAACTCAACTTTACTGATAAACTAACTCAGTTACTGGTAGTTTTGCTTTACTGATAATTTTCTTCTGTACTAATAATTTATTACATGTACTATACTGTACTAAGGATAACTTTAAACTTTACTGGTTTAACTTCTTACTTTACTGATAAGTTTCTGATTTACACATAACTAAGTTCTTTATTGATAACTTTGTAACTTATTGTTCTCAGGTTTTTTATTAATTAAGCTACAGTACAGTACAGTACAGTACTTATTTTTGTGTTCCTGGCAATGATGTTCAGATGATGACTTTTTAAAACCAAGAGCATATATAAATAATTTTTTTAATTGCTCACAAATAGAAAAATATGAATTGTTCATTTATTTTGAGAGAAGAAAAAATTTAAACTATGAAAATAAAACTTACTTAATTTCAGCTATTGGGTTTTCTTCTATGCTTGTTATTGTGATTTGTTAGTGATACAGTATACTGTACATATACCTAATATAAAGAGCAGCTTGTTATTGTTGTAGTTTGTTTAAATTTTGGTCTCTATACAGTACATCTCGCCTGGATTTTTTGGCTTCACTCATGACGTTTTTGTCTCAAAGTATCGTGCCGACGTGGGGATGCTTAATTTGAGTTAGCAACTTTCTAACGATTTTTCAGAGTAAATTTAGGATTCTTTGGCTATTTACAAATTTAAGTTGGCAGCCACCATTATCTTCACTTCCTGAGCCTGCAGTGTCAGTCAACATCATTGTGTGTCATCAATCAGCCAGTGTCAGCCTCCATGTTTTATGTTACTTGTAATGAAACTGTAAGAGTCACAGCAGCCACATATCTGTGAGTCAGCTAGGTGATTGCCTGAACTGTGTCATGTTGCCCAGATGATGGTTTGAGTGTGGAAGAAGTTATACAGTATTTTTTTTTTAATATACTGTACTGTATGTGCTATTGTATTTTATGATATGCTATGAATCAATTTTATTGTTTATCATAGCAATAAATATGGCAGCTCATCCCCATTGTGCGATGATACTCGCTGATTTAGGAGGATTTGTTATTTTTATTATAATTTTATTTTGGTGCCGGTTAGTTGAAACTGCCGCTTACATGGGTATTGGAGAACCAGGATTTTACTGTATTATACAAACTGTTTATATGGTTTGGTAATGTAGCCATTTGCCTAACTTTGGTAGAAGGTTCAGTTTGCAAAAACACATTTAACCATCTAAAACTGACAGATAATAAGACCTGCGCTTCCTTCAGGTTGAGACCATACTTGGGGAGGGATAGGGCACAGTTCATATCCTTCATTCCTCCCACCCAAATTATTATTTTTTTTTGGTAGGGGGATAAATACTAAAGGATAAAAAAAATGTCAACACACAAAATAGGACTTATGTTTATTTATAAATTATTTTAAAAATTTGGGCCCACATTGGACATCTATGGGACCAGATGCCTTGTTATAATGTTCACTTGTGTGTTTCCAACAGTAAACTCCTGCCATTATCAACTTTTCACCGTTGTATCATGATACCCCAGTCTATATACTGTTTACACATTCAGTAACACAACCAACAAGTATCATTGTTTTGATCATTTTATGACAAAAAATACAAATAATTTAGTGCATCATAAAAGAAAGAGAAAAACTTACTTGAAAAAGAAAAGGGAAATGCCTCCTTCCCTCTCACCATTGCCTGGGCAGCCATACTGTGCATGCAGATGCTCTCTCTGATGTAGGAATATGTCCATTACCAGCCAACATACTGTATACTGGGTGTATATATATATATATATATATATATATATATATATATATATATATATATATATATATATATATATATATATATATATATATATATATATATATATATATATATATATATATATACACATACATACATATATATATATATATTATACTCTGTAACTTCACCACCTATCAGCATACTAGGTGTTCAGGTAGTTAGTCTGTGCTTTGTTTTGACCTTTATTGTCCAGTGTTAGTACAGGAAGAATCCAGAGTACCCAGAAACCTGTGATGTTTGATAGGTTCACACTGTTACTGTAGGAAGCATTTTAAGTTGGTTCTCTCTGTTGATGCCTTTGTTGATGCTCTCCTTCATCCTACTTCTGACAGACAACCCACTGATGACCCACAGTCCTAAGTGAGGGATTGAGGTATGACTTCCTCTTTTATGACTAAGGAGAAGAACAAAGTGACCCCCCCATCTTTTATATGATACTGTATTGTAAATTGGCAAGAGTATTGACTTCCTTTCATGGATGAAGGTGGTTTAGAACATGAGTTTACTTGAGGGGTTGGTTGGACTCATAGCCTGAGGCCTCATTAGCCATGAGACAACCACCAAACCAATTGGGATCAAAGCATAGAATAAGTCCTGATTAAACTAATTTAGGTGTGCACAGCATAAACAGCCTATATTTATGTTGCTAAACACATCAAAATCTTTGGCACAAAACAGTATCTGGTAGGCAGCTTGGGAATGTTTTAAGTGGTATTGATTTTGTAAGTCACCAACTTCTTCCCTTTGATCTTGAAGTAGAATTTCATACTTAAGTCCTTCATTTTTTTCTTACATAAGGTTTGAGTGTTGATGTTGGCTATCTAAAGCAAGAATGGATGATGGTATACATTTAAGAGATAATAGTCTATGGATATCATTTGTACCGTAAGTTGCCAAGTACAGTAGCATAATAACCATAGGTATATATTGGTCATTAATTTGTGGTTATTTCTGAGCCCTGGTTTATATTTGTGAAAATTTTTCTAATTCCATATTTCTGCTTCAGCAAACAAATCAGAGGCCAACCTTACTCTTGATGTAAAGCCGTTGCCTTCAAGTTACCCATCTTCAGAGGAGTTTCATCACACATCTGGCAACTCGGCTAATGAAGTCAGTCTCCATTCCCCTCACGATGCCACCGGTACAATTAATGGCTATGGTGATTGTCACTTTTATTTTGTTTGCTACAGTACAATAATTCATCATATTATACACATAAAATGTTATTTAAGAATAGGATATACATAGTGCAAGTTTGATATAATCTCTAAATAAACTTTATAGATTTAATAAGTGAATAGAACAGCAAATGGCATCCATTCATGCCTCAGATATCAATGCCTTTTGAGATACTGTAATCTCTCCTGATTTATGCCCAAGAATTAACCAAACCATTTAATAGTACAGTAATTGTTTATATACTCTACAACCAGACAAGTACTATGGGTGTTTATTAGCTTAATGTATAAAACTGCAGGAATAATAAGTCCTCATTCACCCAGGAGGTCACTGAGGGTCTGTACCCCATGTTCTTCAGCTGTGTTATTGATGAGAAACCCAGTGTTACAGTTATGAATCTGTTCTTGTCTCTTGTAAGAAATATCATGGTCAGGCTAAACCCTCCCAGTATTAATTGTTTTGGAGCACCCATGACATGGTGCACAAATTATAATTGATAATCAATTAAAGTTGTCAAATAATTGTACCTGTGCACTTTTCTTCGATAGACTGGATACCTAATAAATCCAGCAAGGTTCGAAACAATGGAAAACGTCGTCGGAAGGGGCGACGTAGGAACAAATCCCCAAAGAGCAAGGGTCGTGGAGGTCGCCGCCGTAAAGGTAACTGGGGTAATGATTGGCTGAAAAATGGTAACAAGACATCATGGACTTTGGAGACAACACTTAGACCTGTACTACCCTTCCCTACCAGCCCAGGCTCTGATACACTGGGAGAAGGACCTTTCAAGGTAAAGAATTGTTTTGCAGTTTTACCAAGTGAAAAAGCTGGACAATAGAAAAATAGTTGAGTTTATTTCCATGTTAGACACACACTAACTTGCAGAATTCAGAAACAGATATTTTTTGTAATGTTGCTAAAATTCAGTCACTAGAATGTTTTGATTTTGCATGTGTTACTGGTACCTTATATTAAGTGCTGGAGATGATGTACAGCATAACATGGTGATAGATAGATGGAAAAAATATACTTACAGGTATTTTAAAACTTTTATGATAGTGCTGATTTCTGGTAATAGATGGCGATGTTAACCCTTATATGACATGGCAGTTTTTTATGTAAACTATTTGGCCTGACGGGGAAAGATGAGGGTTTTAAAAAAAATGGATAAAATTATAAAAAAAATATTATGAAAAGGACAAGTTTTTGCTCACTGAATACAATGGTGTAATCATATTTCTTGTCCACCTAACGAGAGCCATGATTAATGGGAGGAAAGATACTATATATGACCAGGTGGGAAGCAGTGGGGAACAAGGCACTGCTGCACACTACAACTTTGGACCCATTCATATTATTGATTAATTGTTACATTGACTTATGATCTGTTTCTTATGGTGTACAAATCATCATAGATAATATAACATCTTCAGTAGTACAGCAGAACAAAATACAATTTGACTTGAGAATAAAATGTCAACTGTATCAAAGGCTGTACCTCCCCTCTCATCCCCTCCTGCAATATTTTAGGCTGTTGGAAAGTTTTGAGAAGACAGAAATCATTTACCTATTCATGTTTTATGATGAGAAATAAAGTAAACCAAGGTATCAAGTTGAAAATAAATACTGTATATACATTATTTATTTATTTTCATTTTATAATAATGGAGAATGAGACTTGATAGGGCTAGGGTTTTGAGGAATGTGGATTTGAGTTATGACAATGGTGTTGGTACCTGCTCCAAACACAGGTGTCCTCAGATAGTCATATTTCTTCCAGTAATCATAAAGAACAGGCTTATAGGCATGGGACATCAACATGGAAAGGAGAAAAACAAACAAATTTTAATTCACGGTGGTGGTGTACTATAATTTTTCCGCGATGATTTTGCTGTCCAAATCATGGCCACCACTTCCCTCTTGTGCACCACCAACACCTCTTGCACATGTTGGTGATGCGCTCCCACCTGGTATACGTGCAACATGGAGGATCACTTCAAACTCATTTTCCCCATCACTTTTCTCCTAAAAGCCGCTCATCATTTATTTATTTTCGCCGTCATTTAAGGGTTAATGATATAACTGCTTACCTCACACTTATTAACTTTAAAACTTTCATGAGGGTTCTGATAATAGAAGGTGATATTAATAATACTCTATAGCTGCTTATTTAACACTTATTAATTTCAGGTAGACATTTTGTTGATCAGGTCTGGACACTAACTGCTTCAACAACTTTACTAACTAAAGTTTTCCTTCATAACCCCATCGTAGGCATCCAGCAAAAACATGCACACTGTAGAGGTGACTAGCAGTGAGGCCACTAACACCTTTGACCCTACATTTTGGCGCTCCAACACTCATACTCGTAAAACTGAGCAGGAATACGTCTATGGTACTGTGAAGCACACGGATTGGCCCTTCCATAGTGAGAAGGGTTACCATGCTGAAAGTGAATGGGATCAAGAAGGGGACCCGGTCTTTGGAACAACCAATCACCTTCCAGAAAAGGATATTGATGAAGAAAGGCAACATGTTTTTGGCACAATCACTCACCATAGGTCAGAGAACACATATTGTAATTTACTTATCCCGTTAAAATAGGTACATTGCCATAGTCTTAGATGTTGTTTTTCATCATATTTTGCAAACAGTAATGCAAATACGCTGAGGCTACTTGAACTTAACCTCACAACTTAAGTACTTTCACATATGTAGTTCATATATAACAATGTAATTCATCATCAGAGTAGCAAATATAGTTGAGTTTCATGGGGACAGTTGGCAAAATTACCCCAAATTTGTGTTTTTGAACCTTTTAATATTTTTTTAACATCATTTTGAATATTATAAATATACTGTACAGTACAGTAATGGCCTCCATCACCCTGAAACAATAAAATGGTCAGCGCACGTGTGAGTCATTCCATGGCTTGTAGTACCACAGTTAACTGCCTTCAGATGGAAACTTAATAGATTTTTCTGCAGTGATGGAAGCCGCATCACTAGTGAAGAAAGTCAGATTTACGGCACGATAAGTTACGGTCCACTACCAGACACAACAGACACCACAAATTATGGAGGAACTAGCTGGTCAGACCACACAAGTGTTACTGAAACCCACTTGCCTAGGAGGAACACAGCCTTTGAGGTGAGATGCAGGACAATTTAAATTGAAAAGAAAATTTAAGGTATGAGAGTTAGGGACCATCAGAGCCTCATTGGACAGGTGCATCTGTTTATCCCCAGTGGAGTGACTTTTATAGACTGATGAAGTACGTAGAATTTAAGGAATAGATTTATGTAATGCTACAATCACTTCCGCTTCTAAAATCCTTATGATCTAAATCTGATCGTGGGACCTTTGCCAGAACTTTATGTAATGGCCAGTCAGATTCATCACCAGACTCAACATTATAAGGATGCCACAAAAACAGATACATAGTTAGGAATCTGTGCCATAATTTATTATTACAGGTATAAAAAAAAGGAAATGTAGCTAAAAAAAAACATTAATTCCATTGAGCTTTTCTACTATTGTATAAATAATGGTGTACACAGGCTTGGCAGTTGTTTCAAAGCCAACCTTCCATCATCAGTTCTATACATAATATTCTAAATTTAGCCAAAGGTATTGCTTGGGGCAAAATAGTTTTCAGAAGATGAATTGTAAAATCTGTGATGAAAAAATTGTAAATACAGAACTGTACTTCAATGTAATTTTACATTTGCTTTGCACTCGAAGAATTTCCTCATAAAATGAGAAGTTATTGCTGATTGTTTTGCTCCCTGCATTGTCATGACATTCCTAACCTTTTTAAATTAACTTATAGGTTTATTAACAACATCCAAAGTGTGAAGAATTTCTCTTTACCCGCTTCCTTCCATCTAACAAGGTTGTATTTCACTCTTATAATCTAACTAATTGATGAATCATACTACAGTATACCTTTATGCTGTTGGTTATCCTAGGACATCCAGTCTTGCCTTGGGTAATGCCTTCTTCCCAAATAATATTCTTAACAATAAATTTGTTTCTGAATTCATTATCATTTTCATTTCAGCTCAACAATCCCATTCATCCATTAGCAGTTTTCTGAAGGATGGGTTACCCTGCTCTAATTTTAATAGAATTTACCTCGTCATTACCACAAATAAAGGTCTTGGTACAGTAGACCCTCGAAATTCCAGAGATTGATACTTTTTCTTTATTTTGTGGCACCATAAATAACTTTCAACCACATGCAACAGTCGCCACTTCACTTTAGGTCCTCTAAAGGCATAAGTCTTCTTGGTGTGCATCTTCTACCACTCCAAGTCCCAAGAAGTCTTGTAAGACTTTTCAATCAATTTAAAATTAAAGATGTTGGACAACTTGGGTGCCGAGGTTGTCTAGCAGTGGGTGAAATAAATATCTTAAGGAAGTTTTTTATCTATCTAGGGAGGCATCAGTCTCATCCTCTATATTTCCTATTGAAATGCAAGATTTATTTTCCTTACCTTATTTACCTAATGGCTACCCACTAGAGGCGGCCTTGCTGAGGGAAGGAGGCCAGTGGCCTGTGTAAGATCCCTCCATTGTTCTTGATAATTTTGTCAAGGGCTAATTTGAAGCCCAGTATTGTTTATGATTCCACAGCTTGGGGTGGTAGACCATTCCATAGGTCTGCAACCTTCTGTATGAAGAAGTATTTCCTGATGTTAGTTCTACATGCTAACTCGGCGAGCTTGTAGTTATGTCTCCTCGTGGCCTGGGTTCATGGTTCCGTCCCTCTCAGGATTTAAAATGTTTTATTGAGATTTGTCATATTGTGCTCTGAAGGGTTGTTAGTCCTAATGCTGTACTGTATAACAATTCGCAATTTTATGGAATTTCTCATTGCCACTTACAATACATCGAGGGTCTACTGTACGGTACATGCATAGTGCATTGAGCAATGCATAATATCACAGTTTCACTCTTGTGTTAAAGAAGGTGTTATTTAGAAAACAAGATTGAGTACAATACTTAAGATATCATAAGGTTTATTACTGTACTTAGTTGGCTGGTGTAGTAGTAGTGTTGGTCTTGATATTCATATGAAGTGTAGCATCTAACAGGAGTTTATATTTATTCACCTCAGCTGACAACCTTTTGATTATAGTTACTTTCTTTCATAATAAATGGTTATCAAGTTATATTTGTTTATTTATAAATCTATATACTGTACTGTAATTGTAGGTTTTTAAAAAAATTAGATACAGTATCTGATTTGAAAAGTTCCATTTCTTTTTAGGAATAAACATATATTATGGAAGTATTAATGACGGGTGGTTATACAGCCCATTAGGTAGACTGGTAGATAAATAAGTATAATGGGTTTAGGAGATTTATAATGAAAATGTTCTCTTATAGGAAAATGGCAACTCTCTTGAAGATGGCAGAGGAACAAAATCACTCTACTCACCAGATGGCAGTCATGCAGACACTGAGGTGAGACAACACACGATGTAATTGACCAACTAACATTTTTTGAACATGTTCTCCGGAATAGTTTAGAAACTGTAGATTTGAAGTTTCTTGATGACGTGCAACATTGCCTTCTATTTGGCTATTAAAATAACTTTATGGTCTTTGTGCTGTGTCCCACTTTTTGCTGTTGTTGCCATTTTTCCATTTTTTAATGAATTTCCAGGTCTAAAATGGAACTACTTGTGTACTAGTACAGTTATAAGTTTGGAGTGTTCAAAATCACCTACAGTGATAAACTATATGACAACAGGTTTTACCATGAAATAGATTTTGTATTCTTCTGATGATCCATTTTCTATTAATACAAATGTACTGAAAAGGACAACTTGTAAGAATATGTCTTGCATCATCTCGCAAAATGTTTCATATTTTGGCTGCTTTTGTTCCCCAAGGATGGTATTCACACATCTCTCGTACTCTTAATGTTTGTGATGAATTGGAATGTAAAAATGAATACTGTGCAGTCGAAACAAATTTTACCTTATATTTGATTAAGGAATTGTAAGGTTGTCCTGAACACTATTAGTACCTGTAGTTAGTTTTTCCAGTCCTGATGTCCCTCGAGAGTGAATTTATTGGACATTAGAAAATATTTTACTTGCAGCAGGCAAGGTGTGACTTAATACAAGTCTATAAACACCTCGGAGGACATTAGTCAGTTGAGTGGCCATACCTGGAGCTGGAGGATGACCGCCCCACTGGAGGTCACAGCTTAAGGTTGAAGAAACCCCAAGTTCAAAAACTGATCAGGTTAAATTTTTTTTGAGTGAGGGTCGTGAACTCTTGGAACAGTCTTCCAGAGACTGTTGTTTGTTGCGACGGCACCGAGTGTGAGCTCATTCAAGACCAGACTCGACCAACTCTGGTTCAGGTACAGATACAGCCTGAAACCAGTACATGATCAGTATTTGTTAACAGTGCGTAACCGACCTTCCAAGTGGCTAACAAGCCAATCAGCGATGAAGAGTATAAAATAAAGTGCAAGCAATTCACCCGCGTATATGAGTAGCGTATATGAGTAGATACACCGCGTAAAGTGGGAATAAAGCGAGGGTTCACTGTATATATGCTGGTAACCACAAGGAAAAAGAAAACACGAAGTTCCCAAGCGCTTTCGTGTAATTCACATCTTCAGGGGTGAGTACAGACTAAGGAGAAATACATAACAAGGCATATATATACAGTTGAGGAGGGTGAGACCAAGTCCACAATGGTCAGGTCACTCGGTAGTGACCCTACTAATCTTCAAAAGCACCGCAGCAGTCGGTAGTTGGGTCAGAGGGTAAGATGACCCAACCTTCTCACCTGGTTACAAATCTTCTTAATTACCAGGAGAGAAGGTTGGGTCAGCACTAGCTTCTTCACCACCAATGTTAATGTTGGTGATCTTGATCCTCTTCTTAAATCTCTGCAACCACCCAGGGGAAGCATTGAAGGGTTTGGGCTCTGCAATTCCCATCTTATGTGACACTGCAGCATACAGTTCACGTACGTACTCCTTAACTGAGCGCGTGTCCACCGCCATGTTCCGTCGCGCCTGACGAATCAAGTAGCTCTCAAGTAATTTCTCTGTCTTGAGAAGCACCTGGTTGTGGCAGTACTTGATCATAGAAGCACCTGTAGACTTTGTGATGTTCATGTGCTCCTTTATCTTGGCTGCATCCTTCTTAATTGTCCTGATCGTAGACTCGTAAACACCATGCTGGCGCGCGAGATCAACCTGTCTTGTGCCTTTCTCTAACTCTTGGATGATCTTGTATTTAATTTTGTAGCTTAAGGAACTTCATGTCTTCTTTGGCTTAGGGCGGCTGGGTCCAGGTAATGCAAGGTTTCTTTGTGGTGGTGGTGGTGGTCCGGTGGAGCCATTCTTATGGAACAATGGATACCGATATACACGGTGTAGCCGGGAGTGGTGTAACTGACGCGGGTAGGTCAAGGGGCTTGAACGCTCCCGCGGCGGGGCACGTCATAGTACATTAAACCAATCATAGCTAGCGGGGGAGGGAGGTAAGGATGCTTGGCCCAATCACAGTCCGATACGTCATATGACGTCACCGATAACACAACAAAGACATACACTGCGCAACCTACTCGCGCCGCTTACCCAACATGGAGGGATGGCGGGAGAGATGGCAGGAGGTTTGAATCCAAAAATGGCGCGGCGCGAGAGGACTGCCAGCTGCTCTCCGCGTAAAAGGGTACACACACCGCGTAAAGTGAGCATTCCGTGTTCGGCAGGGTACTGTGTAAACGTGGAAACGCGTAAAGTAAAACCGCGTAAAGTAAAACCGCGTAAAGCGGGGTTTTACTGTAAACGTCATATGTTTTGCACAAAAGATACAATTTTTGCTCTCCCTAATAAAATTCTTAAATTAGATCTAAAATTTTTATGTCTAATCCAAATTTTAGCTTGTTTATATTCAAATTAATTACTATCTTATAAGAATTCCATCAATGTAAATTATATTCTGGCCGGGTAATTTCTCTCTCCCTCCCTCCCCCTGCCTTCCCAGACAAAAAGTTTGGTGGTTTCGTTAGGGTTTAAAGTGTTTATCTTATATAATATCTCAGACTAAAGTTAGGAGAATATAATTTGCATTGCTGGAATCCTTGCAAGACATGCAATAATTTGAATATAAACGTCATATATTTTGCTCAAGAGATAAAAATTGTAGTACATTAGTGTGCAGTACTGTAGTACATTTATAATATAAAGTTTTTCAACTGTATTTTTGGGTATATTTACATAAATTTCTTCATTTATTTTCATCCATTTACATGCACACACCATACTAAAGAAACGTAAAAGAAATAAATGACCTTAGTGCAAAGCTGGAGTGTACATATACTAAATTAATTATGGTACTAAAATTTTTATGTCTAGTGCAAATTATAGCTTGCTTATATTCAAATTAATCACTATCTTTCAAGAATCCCAGCAATGTAAATTGTATTCACCCAGGTCATTTCACTGGCATTTTATAAGAGAGAAGCTTAGTCACTTAAGGACTGATAAATAAACACGCGTCAGACCTTGGGCGCCAACTGTCAACTGTACCACCTCACCTCCCGCTCCCCCCCCCCCTCCTCCCACGCTCCCTCCCTCCCCCACGCCTCCCTCCTCCTCCCTCCTCCCTCCCCCATCTGCCCAGCCAGAGTTTTAGGCTTACAGTTTTTATCTTATATAATATTACAGACTAAAGTTAGGAGAATATAATTTGCATTGCTGGAATCCTTGCAAGACAGCGAATAATTTGAATATAAACGTCATATATTTTGCACAAGAGATAAAAATTAATCACCTGTATCACATTACAGTATAGTGATTTAAGAGTAAGAGTGTATTTGTACGTATATACCCGGTAGTACTGTATTCCACATACACGTAAGTATTAATACAAAAATTTATTGCTGGGCACACAGGGATGGGGGGTTGGTTCCGAGGCAGAGGGCAGATTATTGGCCCTCACCTGTATCACTTGTATCTTTCATGGGTGATAGTAATGTAGTTGATGTACAGAGCCTATACTGTAGATGGATAGTAGTAGAATCTTACATACTGTACTGTAGATATATTTAGGCATACTGTTCTGTAGATATATTTAGACATACTGTACTGTAGCCTTATGGATGCCAGCCTTGTACAGTACTGTAGTTTTGTTGTTCTAGCATTTGATGTTATGGTTTTAAATTTTCTCCTTATTAACGCTTTTACTAAGAGGCAGAGTGAAGAAATTTCCAACCTTTCTCCATCTTGTGACAAAACATTCATCATCCAATGAACTATACTCTATGTTACATTATGTCATGGTACTTTCTTTTTCAATTTATATTTTTGAGTACATACTTGTAGTAATTCTTTTTTTTTTCTTTTTTTTTTTACTCAGTTACATGCATTCACCATCCTACTTACATAATGTGCTATCACTAGTTACCATGTGATCAAAACATAAAAGGAATAAACATTTCTTTGTGTTAGAATTAGTTCACTGATTGTGGGATATCAGCTGCTCTGAGCGTCTCCGTGTGCAGTGAAACATTTGACGAATATTTGGTCAAGCAGCAGCAAGAGGGTTAATGCTCATTTATTTTTATTTTTAGTATTATGTTGCTTTATATGCAAATGTTATTTATATAATATTTATAGGGCGTTGTTGGGATAAATGACTTGCCCTAGTTGTCCACTTCCATTAACAGTTCATCAAGTGTTTGTTATTTGTGTTTTTTGTGTAGCAGAATTTCAATCCTAATTGTAATAAGCTTTAAACTTAATTCAACAAATGATTTTTTTTATAAACCATTCAAGTGATGTGAGCTTACAACACTACTGATGTCCGGGTTAGTTTAAACTGTTCCAGGAATAAAGTGTTCAGTATGTGTTCTAAGCACCATTCCTCTTCTGCCAGTGGTTCTCAGTGGTGTTGTTTACTTGCTTTAGAGGCCATAATAATACACCAGGATGGGATTTCCAACTTAAAGAAGTCTGACCTAGAGAGGTTGGAAATCGAGAGCATTTTCTGAAAAGTCTTGAATAAACATGAAAACTATTTTGAGGGGACCTGACCTGGCTCAGTGTCAGGTGGGGGGGGGGATTAGTGGTCTCATATTTCTGGCCTTCTGATGGAATGTCAGGTCACTCTTTCTTGGCCAGGGGATTAGTGGGTCTCATGACCTGAAGATGTCTTGAATAAACACAAAACCTAAAATATTTTTAGGGAGAGTGTGATAAGTATAAGTATAAATGAGCAAAGTTGTATCCCTTCAACATTACATTACATAACATATTAAAATATGGAGTAAGAAAGCAGAAAGGTGTGGGTGATTAGAGAGATGGAGTGGAAAGGAGTGGTAACAAGCACCAGTGTTGCCAAGTGATAAGCTCCTCAACAGCTGATCTTTTAATTCACCTCCATGCAGTCACACAACAAGACCCTCACTGGATGCTTGTTGTCTTAATTCCCTTGTGTGTGCGTGTGTAATAATAATAATTAATGGTTTATTGAAAAAATTCTGCAGCCCAAAGGCTGAAAATATACATTAGACAAAAATGACTTATTACATACAAAGACATGGGGTGGGTGGGTCATTTAACAAAAGCTTTCATTACTGAAAGAAGAAGGAACATGAATTGAACAAACAAATTATTATAGTTTACAGCTGATGGTCCTGGCTGATCTCTTGCCATACTGTGTGAGGTCACATAGGCCACATGGTGCAGTAACTCGTCCATAGGTGTTGAGATGAAGGACCTCACATGGTCATGGAGGCGCCGGGTGGTGTGGTGTTCACGTGGTGTAGTAACTCGTCCGTAGGTGTTGACATGAAGGACCTCACGTTGTCATGGAGACACCCTGTGGTGTAGCATGGTGTCACAGTACCTCACTCTGTTCGGTGATGTTGTGTTATCTCGTAGTCAGATGCATAGCCGGCCGGCCCTCTGTTGTTCCCATGGTGGACTGATTAGCACCTCATGGTCAGGTGGTGGTGGTCAGTTCCCAGGGGTGCTTATCTCACTGGTGGGTCACGGCGCTCACTGGTACTGTCTGGTGCTGAATTCACTTGCTTAAACACTGTTCATCACTGTTCAACACTGATCCCACTTCTTTCCGAAACGAAATTGTCACTTTTGATTATGTAGATATCCCGGTGGTGAGGATGGGTTGGGGAGAGGGACCTGGGGAATGGGGCCTAACATGGCCAAGGGAGGCAGCTGTGCAGCAGCGCCTGAATAGGTCTTGACCCTCCAGTGGTCAAGGATGTAGTGTGTGTGTGTGTGTGTGTGTGCTCAAATGTACTAAGTTAATTACTCTCGCCATCCCATTCCCACCTCTTTGTCTTCAGTTGCATCATGGGTATTGTCGGGGTAACACCTGCCTCTCATGTTTGTCAATTTAGTGCCTTAAACCTCTCTCATACTCATTCATAATGCCAAAACACAAGCCAACCTTTACTCATTTACATGCACACTGTCCTAAGAGTAAAGCTGTACTGCACATGTACTCAAATGTACTAAATAATTACAAAAATTTTATGTCTAGTGCAAACTATAGCATGTTTATAATCATTTTACAGTAATCAGTATCTTACAAGAATCCCAGCAATGTTAATTATATTCAATGAAGTCAATTCATTGACATTTTATAAGAGAAAAACTTAGTCACTCTAAAGGACTGATAGATAAATATGCAATAGACCTTCGGGATCAACTGTCAAATACATCACCTCACCGGTAGTTTAGACTCAAGGAAAACATCCCCAGCACCCAGAAATATTCTGGGGAAGTGGGCTAGTGTCTGTGTGTGCAAGATGTCTAGTTTAAACACTCGGAAACTTTTCTCAGTAACCGGAAAACATTCCGGTGAAAAGGAATTTTTCCAGGTTTGAGAAAGTCGTCTGGTTAGCTGGAAATCTCTCACCCCCGGAAGTGCTCTGCACCAATTGTTCCGGCTAACGGGGATATCACTGTAGTACCGTATATACTTATGCACTCTAAATACATGTGATTTAAAAACTAAGCTACACATGGTTGATTGATGAACAATTTGATAATTATGATCCATTCAACAAGCCCAGAAAACTGTGAGGGGCAACTTTTTCGGAGTGAGAGCTGTGAACTCTTGGAACAATCTACCAGAAAGTGTTGTGGCGGCACCGAGTTTGAGCTCTTTCAAGACAAGGATTGACCAACACTGGAGCGGGTTCAGGTACATACAGAAGCTGGTACATGCCCAGTACTTGCCAACAGTGCGTGACAGAGACGTGACCGATCGCCCAAGCGGCTAACGAGCTGATCAGTGGTGAAGATGATAAAAGTTCGCATATTAACCACATTTTTTCCCTGTATTAGTTCTACAGAGTTCCAAGTTGTATTTTAAAATATTTGTACAATATTATCATGCTGCAACGAGACATACTTTATAACAGTCATTATACTGCCACTAACTTCATCATTGTCATTATTATTATACCGTATTCAATAAATTAACAAATTCAATTGAACAAATACCAAGACTTTCTAGAAAAAAAATGACAACACTGCTTTTCTGTTTACTATATACAGGGAATAAGTACATTATAAAAATGCATGCTGCCAAAAATTAACATAGTAAAATTTCAGGATTGATTTTTGCTTCAATTGGGCCAGCACTAAAGAGTTGATGGGAGATCTTAGGGTGAACAGTACCTTGTGTGTGTGTTATAGTGCGTTTATTCTCTTTGGGTCCAAACACAAGTAATCTTTATTTGGTAAAGGGAGAACTCAATCAGTATTGTACCTCGTTTATTCCCAGTAACTTGATGGCTAGACCTTTGTTGACTTTCAGGAGTGTTAGTATATTGACAGTAAACTATTGTTTGGTTTATCTTATGAGTTAACAGGAAACCTCATGGGATTTCCACTTCGTATAAAACTTTATAGACTAACTGATTAATCCTTATCAGAACATTCACTGTAGGCTTTATTTTTTAATTGTACAATACCTCTACATACTTTTATTTTATGTTAAACTAATTTGTTTTATTTTTAATATGTAGTTCATACTATTCAGGAGGAATAAGGCCAGGGACCTTTTGCATATTTTTTATTTTGGTGTGTTTACCTCGTTTGAATTTGATGTACGTTCATGGCCCTGAACACTGGACGCACAATTTATATTTTGATAAAAAGCCATGGATTTATTTTCTACCAATAACTTTTCATAAATTTTTATTTCCTGTTGAAGCAACTTTCATTACATTGCTTAATGTGAGAACTTGTATTCATTTATTTTCATGAACTCTCACCATTTTTCTTATATGAAAAATGAAGGATATGATACTGAGTCAATTTGTTTAAATATTTGTTATATAAAATTTTATTAAATGGTTATTCTGGAAGCTATGGTAATAAAAGAAAATTGTAATGATGTGCTTTGATGATACAGGTATTAAGAAATAAATTATATTAGTGATATTTTATCTAAGTGATGTGCCAATACATAGTACCCTGACCAGAGTACATCTTTATTCCTTTTCTCCCATCTCAATGCATGGTTCCTTTCCCCCCCCAGCACCGCCACCCTTCATTCCCTACATTAGGTCAGCGCATGGGGTCATGGCCAGATCACAGTGAGACTCGGAATTCAGGTCATAGCACAGGCCGATGGCCAAGTCACGGTGCCACTGATTCCATTTGGGATTCTTGGACATACTCCTTGGACCAGCATCACCATAAGCACCAGCAGTACGACCCCCCTGGCATCCCCCATTCGCACGCTGATGCCTCCCCTTCCCTGCCCCCTGCACCTCCCAACACCAGCTCTGGAGGCTCTCGCTCTGTACCATACTTCCAGAAGCTGCTTTCCGACCTGGAGGTGAGGCGCTGGAAGAACTGTGAGGGAGTCAGATATAATGTTTATATCACTGCTCGGTTCTAGAATATAACTCTTGGGATTTTAATCCATAACGCTCCATGTCTTCCTTGTTTATAACAGTTCTTAAATGATATTCAGCACATATTGCAACTATAACTGAAATAACAATGCCCTCTTTGCTTTTAACATGGTTAACAGTTGGTATGAGATGACACTCAGTCGAGTTGGATTCTAGAATGTGGCTGCTAGTGTTATAGCAAGCTGGTCACTCATACAGGAGAGTGCAACATAGCGTGTCAACAGTTGTCTCCAGTCTGCAGCACCTGAAGCTTGCGCCTATTTTATTTACCTGCAGGAGCATTGTATGTGTAATGTACAGCTATATTAGACTGGAATTACACCACTATATTAATGTGCATGTTAAAAAAAATTCTGGGTTTCTTCAATTTGTTCATTACAGCATTCTGCATGCAGGTAATTTTTTATAAAAAAATCAGTGGTTTGTTGCCTCTTGCAATATCAGGTTTAACAATTGCATGCTACTGAACACACACTTAAGCTTAACATAGTGCTACTGGTTATTAAGTCATACTTAAATTATGTGCAAATTCAAAAAGGTTTAGCCATTGTATTTAACAATGGTTTCTGTTTTGGGGGTTGCTTTAAACCATTTGTTTATATTATATTGTATATGGTATCAGTAACTCATTAATGTACAGTTTTCTCCAGTATGTAAAGTTTACCATTAACACTGTTGGTGAGTAATAAAGAAGGGATCATTGATCTAGGTAAACAAAATATTGTCATTTTGAAGAATATTCTTGATACAGCTCGTAAACTTCTAACATTTACATTGTTATGTACTGTGTGATGACATGAGCCTATGGCATGTATTACAGTACAATATGTTGTTCCTTTACTTATGTTTGGTTTTGTTAGAATGCTGTACTTCTGGACATACTCTATGATTATCCTGGAGATTTTAGGGCCTGCTATTAAACCAATATGATGAAACATGAACAAGTTTATACAGGTAGAGAAACAAATATTTTAATCATACAAGTGTATACATACATACAGACCACTGTGTATACATACAGACCACTGTGTATACATACAGACCACCAGTAGCGAAGATCCCTCCACACTTAAGTCACTTGAAGACATCGTGTGTTGTTATACAGTATTTTATAAATATTGTATCCAAGAAACCTTGAATGTGAAAGATATCTTGTTTATTGGTCAATATACCATAAAATAGATTATACTGTACTGTACTACAAGAGTTTTAGCCAAGGTGTACAAACACAACCTCATCATTTGTCCTGTTAAAGCAAATATAACAACAGACATTCTCCAATATGTTCATCTTTAAATTCATTTTCTTTATTAATAATCGTTATAAAGAAACTCATTATTTATTTTTATGTCTTTGCTCAAAATTTGGATCTAATTAAAGAATAAATTCAAGATAGACTATATTTTTGCTGACAATAATGTTTCTTTAAGTGCAGAATATTAGTGTGTGTATTGAAGGTCAGTCATTACTAGTGTAGACTAGCACTCAATGTTGCATAGCATGGCTAACATTGCTGACTAAGTGTCATCTGTCTTTTTAGTGAAATTATTATTTGGGTGACCATTCTATGATTTATCTGGTACTGTATAGTATTATAGCTGTGAATTAGCTGTTTAATTTGGGGTTAGTAATCCATCTGTGCAAGTTAATGTGTTTTAAATTAGCACTTTCTAAAGTGTAGGAAGCTTTCAGTCTATAGGCAGAACAGGTTTATGTCACACTTGAATGAACCTTCTATGTAAATTAATGTTTTTATATATGAAAGGATGTCAAGGAAGATGACATTGATTACACTATGCAGATATGTTTTTTAATTACTTTCATATTGAGCTTTAACTCTGATAACTTAAAACCTTGTACAGAAAATAACAACAATTAGTCTTTGTAAATTCCAGCTGGATAACAATTAATTTAATTATTGGTAGGAATAATTACAAAGGGTAAAGGCTAAGAATGACTGCTCAGGAAATTAGAAGTTGAAGAACCATAATACTGTAGAGAGAATAATATAGGTACTTTTGGATGTTGAATCATGAATGATGGTGTATTAGCAAGCTGGGCAAGGACAGTGGCACCTTATGAGTTCACTAATGGGGACACAGAGCTTCTTACCGGCTTCCCTGCAGAGAACGATTAGCTCGAGGGGAGGACGCCACGCTGCCTCACCAAGAGATGAATTTGGAGGAATGATCTCACACGACCTTGTGCGTGATGCAACCACAACTGAGCATCCGCTCGGAACACCTGAAATACTTGGGAAAGGTAATGAAACACTTGAGTTTTATTCTTTTATGCTGATACAAACACTCTTGAATACCCCTGGTATTTAAGTGTATCTTTATAGCATACTTAAGGTATAATGATTAAATGATTGTCTTAGAGCAGTGGATATATACTGTATTGACATTCTTTTTTTATTAGGAAATTTTCAATGAAATTTTGCAACAATAGTTTTTTCTTGATATATTTCAATGATCCCCATACATGTGAGGGTTTGGTAAAAAGTTGAAGGGGAGCATCATGTGAAAAAGATTAGGAGCCACTGTTTTAGATAAACCTCACATTTTGATAGACAGTAGATCCATTTGCATCAATAATTAATTTATGGAAATGTTTAGTGTGAATTGTACTTCACCCAACAATGGTTGTTCTTCATCCCCTTCACATGGCAGCTCATAATACCAGTACAGTAAACTCTTGCTTAATTGCACTCAGTAAGGAAACTTGGTCCCAATTTTGCAAATATCCATTTTCTCTTGAGAATATTTCTCTGGGCAGGAAATTATAAGATTTACAGCCATATTCAGTGGACCTTTTCACATCCATGTTACATTAGACAAGAAAATTAAATACGATAATTAAACAAAATAAATTAACATTTAAAATCATAGAAATTACTTGAGAAAACCCGATTATAACTTGGCTGAGGCTGAGGAGTGCGTACCTTAACTTATTTATCTAATGGCTACCCAATAGAGGTGGCCATGCCTAGGGAAGAAGGCGACCTTGAAGTTATGTTCCCTCGTGGTGATGGTGCATGACGTCACAAAGAAATTACCTGGATTCACGTTTTATGTCACCTGTCAGGATTTTGAAAGTTGCAGTGAGGTCTGCCATACTGTGCCCTGTCTGAAGGGTGTTTTTTTGTCCAAGGCCCACCGTGTAATTGGATAGTTGAGGTGAGATAGTTCTGGAATCATCTTGATCGTTCTGTGTTGCACCTTTTCTAGGATGTTAGGTCCTTTGGGAGGCAGGATTTTCATGCCTGTATATAGTAATCCAGAGTGGGATGTATGTGAGATTTGTACAGTTGAAGGACTTATCTCTATACAGGAATACCCTGATTATTGCAAATGATGCGCTCCTTTAAGTCATTGCGATTAATGAAACTGTGAATATCTGGCAATTTTCCCCATAAGAATTAATGTAAATAGGGGGGGTGGAGGGGGGGGGGGTTTCACTCCCAGCCGGCAACTTTCATCACAAATTTTTTTATATACGTATACTCTTTAAATTATCCAAGGCTATTGGGGACCGGGGTCGTGTATATACTGTATTGCAGGTATCCCTCGTTTAGTGATCTTCAACTTGCTGGGAAAAATTCAGGAGGGAAGATGCCACAACTGGGGATTCTGTGCTTGAAGTGTGCATCATTACAATACAGTACTGTAATGTGGCTTAAAAATAAAGAAAAGACTGTACAGTATTTTAAAGTACAGTAATAATAAAGTAAATAATACAGTAATAAATAAATGTAACACATACATTGCGAGGTGAGCTGATAATATATAGATGATATTCCAAAAGTGTAATAGACACAATGAAGTAAAAACCCACATAGGAGAAATAAAAGACTAAATCCTGGAGCTGGTACACTAGGATTTTATTCATCCAACTAACAGAATAAAGCAAAAGAGAAAGACATAGAATAAAGGAATCGGGTCACATGACCTGTCCCCTGAGTTGAGGTAGAGAGGGGATTAGGGATAATGTTCTTGATGGCAGTATTCACTCACCACCAACAACACTAACCACTCTTTATGTTCATATTATTCATTAATGGCATAAAACATCCTATATTATTCATACATGATTAGAAAAAACACAAATAATACCAAATTAACTCTTTACTGTTTACCGCACAGCATGAAGCCCGGAGTTAGTCCTCTTGTAAGGGAGGTCAGTTGGTAGCTAGGGAGTCAGTGTTGCCGTCCGCACAAAGATTTACATGTTGTGTACAGTATTTGTAAATGGGATATGATTTTCACCCAAAAAATATATATTTATTTATTATCATATGATTTGAGCAATGCAGCATAACACATTTTAATTATACAGTAGAAGCTCATTTCAGCTCTCTGTGATGAAGATTGACTCATAAAATAAGGAGACAAAAAATAATCTGTTTACAAGTACAGTACAGTAATAGAAATGATTAGATTTGTACCCAGAAAACAAATATTTATTAATATATTGCTTTACCATGAAACATATACCTATTTTCTTCATACTTTAGTCGATGCATTTTAACTCTCTGTGGTGAATATTGACTTGTAAAAATAATATTCTTACCTGAACAAAAAGAATATATATATATATACTGTACAGTATATATATACAGGTATATAGTGAAGTATATACCTACCCCGCCACCAGAGGAAACATACCATTTTGGATGTTGGTGAATATTCTTAAGTAACTAGGCAATCCTTTCAGTTGTTGACTGTGACTATCTGATGCAACAGGTTGATGGCAAATTTGACCAAAAATTAATGGATGGAAAACAATCGATGCATCAATGTGTCCACCGTGAGTTAATGAACTTAGTGGTGCACACAAAAAGTGGCTGGCCAGGCAAGGCAAGTTCTGTATATCTGTGTGCAGCAACTTTATCATGTGATAATTCAAAATGTCATTCTGCTAGTTGTGCCTCTTCTAAAGGCAATGCCTCATATGTGACAGTGACATATGGCAAGCCAGTGGACCAGACCACTGATGGTTCTAATCAATAATATTCTAGTGTGTTCCTTTTTGAGAGGCAGAGTTTAAATGAACCATAAATTGTCAAAGCTAAAGGTTAATAACGGTGACAATTGCATCCCAGAGTGCTAAGAGAATTGTGCGACGAGCTTGCTGAGCCCCTGAAAACTGCCTAGAGAAGCAAAAAGTGACTAGAAAATGTCCTTCCCACCTACTTGATGATACAACTGTTCCTTCCCACCTACTTGGTGATACACCCAATGGTGTATATAAGTTTTTGTAAAGGGGGGGGGGGCGCAAGACTTGAAGAGAGGGACATTATTTTATTTCCATCCTGTGGTGTAAGCAGGGAGCAAGCCTAGTTAGCCCATACAGCTGGGACTTTTTGAGGCCATCTACAATGAACAGTAGGACATATTGACAGGAGCAGCACACACACTGATCCAGGACCAGCATATGTACCATCCTGTACTTGAGAACGTTATAATCTGTTTCTTCTTACCTATGGTACTTGGGGACAGAATAAACTTAATTGGAAGATTGACACTAAAATTTGCTCCGTGGTGTTAAAATGACCACTAATAATATTGTTTCCTAGGGTGACTGAGATGTACTGCTGCATTACTTGATTAACAGCTTCTATATCTATCATTAAATATATTATCAGTCAGACATAGTAGTACACAAAACATTACCTCAATAAACACAATTTCACTTTTTACTCTGATCCAGGTACTCGAGATTCTCTGGAATTTGAATGGCAAATGACAAATTGGTCTGAGTGTTCACAGACTTGTGGGTTCACCAGCTCCACCGGTGGCTACCAGGTAAGTGCCTAATTTAACTTGGTATCAGATGATGTGAGATAGTTTTATAACATGTAAAGTATGATTTCGGAAATCATATTGCACACCGTTGCAGGGGAGGGAATTATTTATTTTACTTTTATTTTATTTCTTTTTTATTTCTTTTCTTTATACTTGTTTCTGTTTTATTTTCTATATTCCACTTTCTAATTCACCTTCTCAAAGTATTTATATTTACTGTACTTCATTCTTACTTTATTTATTCTTATTTTTATCTATATTTGTAGTTTCATATATATATCAAATTATAACCTTCAACCTCTTTAACATGTGGTAGCATGATGAGGATTAGGGCAGGTGGAGTCACTTGTATTTAACAGTACCAAGATATGAGGAAGAAACAAAGGCAATAATACAGGGATAATTATACCCCAACATACAATAAAGATGATTTATTAAAAGTGAAGTTGAGGACCTGAACACATTACCAGAAGTATTCACCTTTAACAGGACCAATGTTCAGTCAACATTGCTACAGGTTACTGGTAGCATTTTATGATTGATACACAACAAAGATTGGTTGTCAGCCCTTCAATCACATTACACTTATACTTCATAGTATTACTCAGAGCCCATCACAAGATTGCTATTCATGTACATTAAATATTATTACTTTCAATACTGGGGATGCAGGTTGGTCTGGAACACACAGTTAACACGACCCCATGAGTCTTATCAATATTATACCTGTTAACACTCCTTAATCACAGGATACATCGGTATTCATTTACTAGGTGGGAATGAGGTACTGGAGATAGAACGATTACAATTACACACAGGATGTTACCACAGGTTTATGCCACTTGTATTCAAAACACATTCCGGGCGTTTACACTCTGTGATACTGCTGCCAGGCTCCACTGTGTCCGGGGTTCAACCCATGTCTCAGGGACATGGCCACGCCCATAGCCCTACAACTCTCATCAAGCGCCGTCAATTCTAGACCTTAATCTCGGTGGTTTAAAGACATCATGTCTGACATTGGCCACCGCCTCTTGGCAGCTCCAGTAATAGGGCGTTCAAAATGAAATTAAATCAAAATACAAATGTCACAAAATATGTCTTGTGCAGGGAAACAGATGGCACCTGAACACACTTACTTAACACATAGGACTTCTATTACATTAACGGGATCACAGACGTATTTAACACAATTCATCTAAGTCAAATTCATTTAATATGACGGTGAGACACAGAGTAACGTAGCTAGTTGATGAAGAAGAGGCATTCACAATGAACTATTCAAATTGCACGCTCTGTTTTATACACCCGGTGTTACCACCCTCGATACTTTACATTCACATTCATTGGTCTCAGTTACGGTACACCCCGGGCTGTGAAAATTAGGCTTATATTAATTTCCTAAAATTAACTTTTATGATCTGATAATTGTATGAGCTTTGCAATGCAATAATTAAATTGGTGTCAAGTACTTAGGAAGGCAATCACACTGTGGGCAGAGTCACAAACCACAGCAACCGGCCTACTCACAGATATGTGTTGCAATTCAGAGTTTTACTGCAGTTGACAGTTTCTGCCCTCAAGATCAGTGAAATTATTTATTAAAGAAATGTCAATAATTTCATTATACTCAACGGATTCTCTGGGGTCTGTAAATTGAGGAAATACAACTTCAATTGTTATCTCATAACTTCACAAAAGACAAACACTGATCACAGCTGTTGGCAGGACACTCAAAACACATCATCTTAATACTATTTACACTACACACAAAGATAGATGAAGCTCTCAACATATACTCAATACATCTTGAATGATTCAGCTCATGGTAGGTATATCTGTCTTATGGTTACTCATACAGGTTACGTCATACTTTAAGTGTACTGTACATTATATAGAGCACTTTAGAAATTAGAAAAAATGGACGGCACCTCTCACTAGGGGCAACTCATTAGTTTTATACATGTTTTGTGGATGTTGGAGCATAATATGAATAGAGTAAGTGTTGAGATGGATATATTAGCTGTGCCATTTTGACCATGACAATGTGTACAGTACAGTATGTCATCTTGCTCAAAGTATTTATTTGTTAGGAATTCTTCTTACCACACTTCAAGCAAAAGAGACCTATGTGTCTTATTTAAGGTTATTTTCATGTATTTTTCTTTTGACTAAAGTGTAAATCTTTCTTCTCTAGAATTAGATTATTCAATTATTTTTATTTGTAAGAAAGGTAATTGTATGTTCTTAGGTTCGGTCAATCCAGTGCCTGGTGCGAGTAAACAATGTGAGTCGGCCAGTAGATGGGGCTCTGTGTACAGATGCAGGTCTCGAGGCCCCAACCACTTTCCAGAAATGTGGACTCGTGGGATGTCCACAATGGCATTTTAGCGAGTGGTCGGAGTGCGAATCATCACGCTGCTTCACGCTTAACTATGGTCAGTTCACTATAACAGTGTATAGAATGTAAGAATAAATAGATGAGATGTTTTTATGTAAACGTTCAGCAGGAAGTCTGTGATACAGTACAGTACTGTATAGACCAAGGCTCTCAGACATATGAGAGGATATAATGTCTATCCTAGGATTGCAAACTTACAACATGTAAGTCAGAGAACATTAGATGCAGTTTACTGAGACAAATTTCTTGGATCCTCTTGTCATATTTTAAGATAAATTCCAAGCAAATTCATTTCCAGTTTAAAATTTTTGGAGATAAAATAGTCCTTGTGAAATTCTAGAATTTAATCATACAGTACTTCATACTGTACTGTACTGTACTGTACTATACTTTATGTAGAATTACAGGAGAATACATGTAACCTCTTATTGTGATTATTACATTTTTCTCAAAGTTCTGTCTTATGAAACATGATCTATTGCAGCTTACCAGCGTCGTGATGTTGTGTGCCAGCTACTTAATGGGACAGTTGTCAGTGCTTCACAGTGTGATGACCGAAGTCGCCCGCGTCATCGACAAGGATGTTACAACAATCAGTGTTCCGGTGTGTGGCGGGTTGGTGAGTGGTCAGATGTAAGTATTCCACAACTATAAACACTTAAATATGCACATTTTGATATCCCTTAATATAGAAAACTCCATGACAATGTCTCATGGAAAAGTATCAAAAGTTTTAAGTTGAGTTTATTTGGTTCAAGCTCTTCACAGAACACCTTCATCATCACCATCGTTGTACTGTATGGCCATTTTTTACACCTGAGTGAGTTAGCTGTTAGTTGATAACCATGGATGGAGACTCAGCACAGATGTGGAATTTGAAGTTATGGATTCACTATATACTTAAGTAAACAGTTGCATATGGCTTCTGATTGTAACTACTCCAGTATGTGAAAATAAACTTAACAGTTAAATGGATAAAACAATATTGCAGCTGGTTCATACATCTGTTCATCTGTAGTCTGTTTGTTCATCCTCCTGCTTAATGAATTCAAACTTTTCAATAAGACCTTCCAGTAAAATTCACAGGTTTGCATAAATTATATAAATAACTAGGTATTTCCTGCCCCCTCATGTGTACTACCCTCATATAAACACAATGGAGTCATAATATATCGTAGATTAGGTATCAGAAGACATTGTGAATTATCAAATCGTTACTTGATTCCATTCAAACTAATTAGTTATGTTCCGGAGGCCAGAAAATATGCAAAATGTTCCAAAACTGCATTAACAAACACTGAGCAGCATACATTATACTTAAAAAAATACAGTAACATAGATATTGTATAAAAAGTAGTTTTATATTACATAAACAGCTCCTTTCCTTTTCATAATCATCCTCTGGGTGACATCAATGTGCCAACATCGAGACATTGCTTGGTTGACTCGCAGCAACGTGAGGCAGACAAAATTCTCATTTTACTATAGAAAGAAAATGAATCTATTTTAAACTAAGCAATATTTTCTTCCACCAAAATCCAAACTTTTTTCTTTGTTCAATACAGTAAACTCCCTCTAACCCTGACTCGCTTAATCCAGATCCCCTTGTAAACCGGACTGGGGTCCAACACTGGACGCATGTGTCCCAACCCGGAAAACACAACCCAAATCCATTTAATACGGGAGAAAATTGCCATAAGTGGGAACTGCCACTGTGGTGACATGAGAGGGTAACTGAACAGCTGGCTCTGAGGAGGTGGCTGCTGAGGAGCACTTAGGGTGAAGTGTCTTAAGAAATATGTAGTGCAGTGCAAACATAACCTCCACTCCACCTTTGATAACGTACATTGTGAGTACCATACAATCGCCTCCTGCCTCAACTGCCTCTTCACTTGAGGCACTGTGATCACTGCCATAGTCCTCATATACTGCTAGACTGGGGGTCACTAACTCTAAGGGTAAATACTTAACTCTAATCTTAATTTCTAATGGTCGCTGCCACCAGACCCTCTCTGGACAGCATGTAGCTCGTTAGGTAGCGTGCAGAGTGGACTAGGCATTGGGTTAGGTTTTCCATTGACCAGATCGATAAGGGGAAAGAAGGGTGAAACCATAACATGTCTTAACTAATTTATTCCTTATAAAGCATACTGGTAAAAAACATACAAATGAATTGGCCTTCCTCAGAAGAACAACGAAAATGTTGGTTACCCAGATCGGCACCAGACGTCTTACATTAGTGACGTGTCATCCACATACTTATTGCATAACAATCTGTGACCACCTTACCTCGGTCATTCCTTCTTACACTATCCCTTAACACATCAGACTGCTCCACCTGTATGGACTATAGCACCGTCGGTTATCATACATAGTAGCACCATCTCAACACACCTGTTACACTCCACACCCGCAGGTATACATAACAGGCACCTCGTTCGCACACCGTCCTCGGTGGGTAAAGACGAGGGCTTCACCAAGAGACATACCAGTACTATTTCAACGCCTGGTATTATAGGTCGCTCCAAGTGACGACCGCGGAGTTTCTCACGGTCTCCTTATTTGTTACTACTCATTTGGATTGGTGTGCTGGGAATCTACAGGTTCACAGTGGATTGGCATAGCTGGGAGTAGTCACCACCTGGTGGGACGCTCACAGGGATAATGGCTGCCGCGCAGCAAGGCACTCCGACCGCATGGGACCTGAGGTGACGGTAGAACGGAGGGTACTGAGAAATAATGCCTGACGGGCGGTTATCACACACCCTAATCCATTACTATTACACTTATACATCAGGCAAAGATTTAAACTGTAATAACTTCTATATAAGCCTTAATTATAGGGCGGGATATAGCCCGATAGAACACTGACCTGAGGTGACGGTAGAACAGAGGGTACTGAGTGCAGTGCCCCGCCGCTCGTCACCGCGTAGGCCTACAGTTTCCGATCTTTAATTTTTACTTTTATTTCTTATGGTTCTCACCTGAACACTGTCCGGTATATTGTCACTCACGCCTTATAAACACATATTTTAATCCTAAATTACACACTAAGGTAAGGTCTTGGTTTGCTAGTTCGTGGGTAAATTCATTGGGGTATAATATCAACGCAGCACTCTCGAGGCGGGTACAGGACACTCCCCAAACAAAGGCCGAATGTTCATGGCGTGGGTATATCCACTTCACTTAAAACTGTAATTAGGGATCCTCCTCTCACCCATTCACTATTTGAACACAGACATAAGATTCTCTGATCACTGTACATGTCGTGGTATATGTCACGTGAGGATACGAGGTGTATTAAGTTCACATCGATGCATACAAGATATTTCCTTTCAAGTATAGTTTCTGGGTCACTTCCAACACCTCACATAGTACTGATGCATTTATCCTTTTTCCAGATCATTGTTCTCATGTATTTTCATATGATATCTGTGGAAGTTATGTTCGCTACACGTTCACAGACGTAAATAGTATGACCCTCAAACCATGATCCACACTTAGTCCTACAGTACACTAGTCCGGCTCAACTGGACTTTAACATTCATCTTATGGATACCCTGAGTTCTCCTTAATGCTATGAATACATACAATTAATATTATATAACTGTACCTGGGTACAATACAACACATGGTCTAGTAACATCGAGTAGGTGAGTTATCCTTTATCAATGTTTCCCGTTTTCTGAGATTCTACAAGCGCGGTGGATTTGAATGTTATATAGCGTAATATGAATTAAATGGGGTTTTTAGGAATGACAATGATGTGCGCAGTACACTCAAGTGACAGGACTGTGGTGGTGGTGGCAGGTGGAGGAAAGGTGGCCGGCAATGCAGTTTTGATGGCGGTGGTGGCAGCAGCGGCAGCAGCTGGCTCAGGGATGACAGGCGGTGGAATTGAGGTTGACGTTTTAAGGATAGCGTGGAGTGTTGGCTGGGTGGCACGCTACTTGAGATTGCTGTCAACTTCTTTACAGGACGAGGTTAATTGTTTAATACCCACAATGATGGTCTCTGCACACTTTGTATCAAGATCCTCTTCAACCATGACTGCTACAGGTTTGATTGACTAAGTCGAGAATCCTCCGAACACCTTTCAGAGTCAACATCTTCGATGTAGGGGGTGCAGTTGTTTCTTCCTCTTCTCGAGCCGTCTCCTGTACCAACTCTTCATTTGTAAGGTCTTCACCGTGTCCCTCAAGCAGATCCTCAATGTTTTCCTCATCCAATTCATTAAATCCTGCTTACTGAGCCAGCTCCACAATCTGCTGGTTTGTAGCAGCTGGCAATTGTGGGAGTCCGCAGAATCCGTAAACACACACTGGCCAAATTTTTTTCCACACCGCATTCATTGCAGAGTTGGGAACTTCATCCCAGGCCTCTGTAATATTTTCAAAAAGAGGTAGTAAGAGAGGTGCCTGCGGATTTATGCATGTGAATTTGTGTTTTGTGAATTATCGTGACTCCACTGTATTTTTACATTTCTTAAACTTTATCCAGTTCTTGAATTGCTGTTACTGGGTAGACAGTCATTGCAGGGATCCATAGCTCATTGTGTGAAGGATTGTTGTTTAACACAGGAGATGCCTTGTAAGGACTATAAACACATTTCATGGTTTATGTTTGTTTTGATGTTAAATTTTTTGGCTGTGTGCAGTAATTTGTTTAGCATACAGTATTTCCAAACCTAAACCTCTCAATTGTGTTAACTCATTTACACACAGTTGCAGGGTCTCAACTGTTTCTCTTTCTTTGACAACACAACATGCAGTATATATTGTTTCTCACTTTTGATTTATTAATTTTTTCCATTTCTATATTTATTTTGGGTCCCCTCCACCAAGGCCCCAATGTGGGTCAGTGACCTGTGCCTGGGTGGGCCAATCTCCACAAAAAAAAGGGGATGTTTAGCTGTTGATGTTCCTCATAAGGCTCTCAACTAAGAGCAGGTACAAGCCTGATGGCATGCCTTTGAACATTCAAAGAACTCTCTTGTGTTGCTTCAAGAATTTTGTGAGCCATAATGCGACTAATGTTTGTGGATGGATGACCAGCATTAATGTGGAGGTTTTTGATCAGTGTCTTTTCTTAGATCTACTGTCTGTTCTTCTGTGAGTACCGTATATAATTAAGAATACATGTACTTGTATTGGTCAGAGGGATGTAGCATCGTGTACTGCTAATTCATATTTATATATCTTTTGATTAACTGTATTTTAAGAAATGGGGAAATTATATATAGTTGTATTCTATACATAATTGTTTTTTGTCTGTCTGTAGTGTACTGCACCCTGTGGTGGCCAGGGATATCGAACAAGACTTCTACAGTGCGTATGGAACGGTACCAAGAAAGCTGCCGGTAATGCCTGCCGAGAGCTGCCACGTCCCGAGGTGGTCCGCTGGTGTGACGGTGAACCCTGCCCCGACCTCAGTATGTAGTGTGGAGATCCAGGTCATGAGGTCATGGGCCAAGGCCAAGAGGTGATCAGGTAGAGTGTTGCTGCCGGACGGTGCATGGTTCACACTGCTGCATTCACAGCCAAAGACAAAATAAGGGGGTGAAGGATGTCTGTTATCTCTGGTGATAAAGAAAACCAAAACAAACTTCAAAAGTAAGGGAATGTTCAAAAGTATCACCTACCGACTGCCCAGATAAAAAAATTCATTCATTCATTAAATAAGTTTCATATAAATTATTAAAAAAAAATCTGCTTTAAACCAATTTTAGCTCACCATTAAAGGCAAAAATATCACTTGTGTATAAGATTTGGGGGGAATTTATCTCCCTGTAATGTATTTTCAAATTTAAATGCCATTTTGAATTTTCTTTGCAACTATAAGAGTAAGTTGCTCTTGTCTAAGGGGCACTTTGTCTTTGACAAGTAATATTATGCCCAAATTTTTAAGGTTTTCACAGTTTTTCACCACATGTAAATACTACCTCCGCTGTTGCTTAAATAACACTACTGTATATCTCCGGATGAGTTTGAACTTACCAACATTAACCAGAATTACCTCCACTAGACCAGGATGGTGAGAAGCACATAGACTATTAATAATTAGTTACAGCACCTACTAACATACCAAGCTAATAACTTTAACTGGTTGTATAATGTTAGCCATCACATTTGGCTATGTTATTGAGAAGAGGTAATTTGGTACTAACAAACATTTGAAATAATGTATTGTTGATTAAGGTTAATTTTTAGAACTTTAAATTTAAAGCTACAGGACTAAAGAGTTAAACAAAGTAATGATGCAGCAAGGGTAGTGATAGTGTGCACCTGCAGTTTTAGTTGTTAAGCATTTGCAGATTGTTACGATCACCGAGCATATTTTTCTGATATCAAGAGCATGAATATTTTAGTTTATACACTCACAGTCTTTAGGCAGAACAAAACATGAGGCAACCTTATTTTCTCCTATTGAAATACATAACATCATAGACTAGTTTCCTTTTGACATCATTCCTGTCCTCATTAGATATACTTTATTACAATCAAACCAAAAATATATACAGTATAGGGTCCCCGTATTTGTTGGGGTTATGCCCTTAAAAATAGGTATGAAAACTAAAACAACTATAGCTGAGCAATGATTTATTTTTCCCATAAGAATTAATGGAATAAGGGAGAGTTACGCTCCTATTATTATGTTGCTCATGTGACAAAAAGGGGAATTTTCTCTCATAAGAAATAATGATCTAATTCATTACCACTCTATCCTGCGATGGCCAGACTAAGGATAAACAAGTCACCCCCTTTACAATGTGTAGTTTAATGTACACCGAACATCACTTAATCCTCCGCCCTAGCTCCTCCCCGACTTACGACGGGGTTAGGGACCCAAATCCAGGTCATAAGTCGAAAATGCTTAAATAATACATAGAAAATCTAAAATGGGTGTCTCTTTTTCTTCTCAGCATCACAAAACTCTCACTTTTAAGCTTGCTAGCCATTTTAAAGGGAATTACAAACAAAAATTTTGTCAGTACACAGCGCAATCACTGACGTTGGGACTCGAAAATACGTAATTTGACAAAATTTTGGTACGACTAAGGCGGTCGCATGTCCGGGTGGTCGTGAGTCAAGTAGGTCGTAAGTTGGGGAGGAGCTGTATACCCGTCGCTGACTCGGCTCTGTTCAGTTTTGCCCCTGATCTTGATCATTGAGTTAACACCACTTTAAAACATCTAACTCTAACTTTTATGTTTTACTTTTCCTGCCCCTCTTATGCTGAGACTCACTGACTCAGTCTTTGTACTTACCACACAGCTTGGACCCATGATGGCAGTGTAACACAGATACAGTCGACCCTCGTTAATTCGGACTAATATTGTGGGATAAAATGGACAAAAATCTCGGACGTAATATTTACTGTATGAAAGCCAAATAAAACAGTGATGCCGATGCATAGCTACGTCTAGTTACAATGAATACAACACAAGTACAGACTTTGTTGCTATGCTAATGGGTTAGGCTCCTTAAGATTCATTTGGTTATCAAATTTTCAGCAAGCAAATAGGGTTTGGTTCCCAAATAACAAAAAAACGTTTTTTTTTTCTTGTAAAAACCATTTTTTTAAATGCATTGTACCAAAAGAAATGAAATTGGTTTATGAACAAAATAAAATTATGATGCTTAAAAAATTAATGTTTAAAAAAAAACTGATACCCTTTATTATGCCTAAAAAAAATAAAGAATAAAAAGACTACTGTATGTATATACAGTTGGTACATTACCTTTTGTGAGGCAGGTCTCTTGTTTGGGCCTTCCCACATTCAAAATGCTTTATTATTTCAAGCTTGTTTTCAATTACTGTACAGTGGTCCCTCGGTTAACGAGCACAATCCGTTCCAGCAGGTTGCTCGTTAACCGAAACCATTGTTTCAATGGGTTTTTGGGTAATTGGTTCCAGCTCACCGAAAATTGCCTAAATTCAACAAAAAAGGTAGAAAAGTTCACTTATTTTGAGGTGTGTATGTAGAAGGTTCCTGGATGATGATGATGATGTGAATTTGAAGTGGGAGGTGGAGGAGGAGAAGGGAGAAGAGAAGGAAGTGGAGGTGAAGGAGAAGCATTTTACTGCTTCTTGGAAGGTGAGTCACCTTCCATGAAAATGTCAGGAACCTCTGGACTGACAGATTCTCCACCTTGAACATCCTCTCTCCTTCTTGAAGTGGAAGGCTGAGGGATAGCATCTTGTTCCCTCTGCCTTTTACTGAAGAAAGTGTCAATTGTGGTCTGTGGGGCATCTGTCCTCCTCACCATTAACTTATGTTTAAAGAAGGAGACCACTGAGTCCTCAACATGACACAAAGTTAGTTCAGTTTTTCCACTTCTGGGTGCTTTGAAGCCAGTTCCCTGAACTTCTCCCAGTGGTAAATCACATCTTTCAACTGTTTAGCTGACATATGGTCATCACTTTCAATTTCCTCCTCACCACTGTCAGCCTCTACCTGTAACATCTCATCCAGTTGCTTCAAGTCATCAGGAGTAAGTTCCTCCTCATGAGACATCACAAGCTCTTCCACATCCTCCTCCTCCACTTCAAGGCCCAATGACTGACCAATGGACACAATCTCCTGGTCCAACTCTGTTTCTTCCTCAAATCCCTCAAAATCATGGACTACTGATGGCCACAGTGCTTTCCATGAAGAATTGAGGGATCTAGTGGAGATTTCTTGCCATGATGACACAATCAGTTTTACAGCCTCCAGGATGTTGAATTGTGTCTTCCAGAAATGTTTCAGTGTTAGTTCAGGATCATTGGAAGTTGCCTGATGACACCTCCTAAACATTTTCTTCATGTACAACTTCTTAAGTTGCTGATCACATTCTGGTCCATTGGCTGTATGATTGATGTAGTGTTGGGAGGCAAAAACAACACTTTCACAAAGTCAAATTGATACTCCAAAGTTCTGGCAAGGTCAGGGTCATGACCAGGAGCATTATCCATGAGGAGAAGAGCCTTTAAAGGGAGTTTATTGGTGGTTAGGTAGCTCTTGAGAGAAGGGCAAAACACATTAAAGAGCTGTCTTGTCACCCATGCCTTACGGTTGGACTTCCAATAAACTCCAAGCTTTGTTCTTGCCACTTTCTGTTGCTTGAACACCCTGGGGTTTTCAGAGTGGTAGACAAGCATAGGCTTCAGTTGGAAATCCCCTGAAGCATTGGCACCAAGCAATAGAGTGAGACGGTCTTTCATGGGTTTATGCCCAGGTAAAGAGGCTTCATCTCTGGTGATGAATGTTCTTTTGGGCATCTTTTTCCAGAACAGCCCAGTTTCGTCCACATTGAACACTTGCTGTGGAAGATAATTTTCTTTTTCCATCAGTTCTTTAAATTCCACTAAAAACTTTGCTGCCCCTTCCTTATCAGCACTAGCAGCTTCACCATGCCTAACAACACTGAAAATGTCACTTCTTTTCTTAAATTTTTGGCCATGGTATGTTCATGTGTAGGCAACTGTACATATGAAAGTAAATGTACATGACAGGTGTGCATACATAAACACATATACAGGCACATATTTGCATGCAGGTATGCACACACACACACACACACACACATTTCTATATTGTACATAATTATATCCGTGCACTATCTTAGCCATAGCAGAAAAGATAGAATCATTAGAGAATTGCTGCAACATGCTTGTACAGTACTATGTCAGCTGACTGTTTAGAGAGGCTGACTCTTAAGTATCACATTAGTGAGAAAAAATCCAACAGACTTTTCCAAGGGTTTGAATAACAAGGAGATGATTAGACTAGTGACCATGCCCGCTCCTTGGTGGCAGCATGTGCTTGCCTGTTGGCTCAACACAACCAGCAACATCAGATGCCCCTCTCTCTGGAGTTTTTAATATCAGTGATTGCAAAAGTATCAGATCAATGTCATGAAGAACTGCTGGTTGTGTTTGTCAACCCTTGTGCCTGCTTTTTTCTAGAATAAGTAGTAAAATAATAGTTTTTTCTTAACTTTTTGAAAAAGGATTATACACAGATATGCTTTGTACAGTACTAACTTACCATGATTCTTTACAGAGTCACACTGCTCACAAAACTGTAAAATAATGCTTATGTGGACATTATTTCTTTTTTCACTCATTTTATATTGCTTTCATCTTTGACATGTTTGGGAAGTGACATGAATTATGTTAGTTTGGTTGTGCTGTTGCTTACTTGTACCATTTGTTTATTTCAATCTGAAGGAATAATATTCAGGTGATTTAATTTTCATATCTTTAACATGTATTGATAGGGACAGAGATAAAAACTTACCTTTGTGATCTGGACTACTGAAGCAGGTGTTCAACCTCTTCATTTAGAGGCAGAACATGCAGAGGGCAACAGAGTCTTGGTGTTCTGCCCCAAGGAGGATCAAATATTATGATTCGAAATTTTATGAGAATAAAAATTTGCCATTT